TGCTTTTGAACTACTAGGTTGACAGGAGCTGGGACAAGCGACGGGAGCTCACTCCGTCACGTGGATTCAATCTTATGACTGCTGGTCTTCTGACCTTGCAGCGCAGAGGCTTCTGCGGTTTAACCCGCAGCACCACCACGTCCCTACTTTTTGGAGGGAAAGGGGGCTGTAAATGGAAGGAAGGAGGAATGAAATGATCTACTGATCTCTGATCTACATAGGAGATGTTTGAAGGGGGAAGATAGGTAACATTTTTAAAAATTACCCATCCAAATCTGAAAATCTGAAACAATAAGAGCTCTAAATTGTGGTTCAACAGAAGAAAATGGAAACAGGAATAATTATTTTTCTCTGGCTATTCTCCTAAATCACCACTGCATGCAATACTGATGAATGGAGCTTGCACAGATTAGATTACACAAGTAATAGCACTGCATGAAAGTCAAAAACTGCAAAGAACACGGTGAATTGTGGAAAATTATCCCTTGTTCTGAATTTGTTTCTTTTCTACAGCATTTGTGGGCAAAAGGTACTCCGTAAGATGTTGGAGTCTAACTTTCATGAGCCCTAATCAGGCTATCCAGTGGTAAGAGACAATCAGGCTGTACTGCACTGCACTGCACATGTTAGAACATCTCTTGAACAAATTTCCTGCTGTGAGAGATGTACACTTGTGATTCCTCAACTTGTGTACAAAAAAGCCCACTTTCAAAATGTACAAACATACAAGCAACTGGAACACTGAATACTTACACTAGTGACTATCTTTTGACCCTGACAACATTCATCAAACATAATGGCTGAAACCCAGTAGTAAATCGCAACTAGAGCAGGCATATTGAATCAGCGAGGATTTGGTGAGTCAACTCCTCCATAAGTTTCACTGACTCACCTGCCTACTCTAATTGCAACTCACTCCTGGGATTTCAGCCATTGTTTGCATTTTCTGTTAAGGGATGTGAAGTAGATTAGGTTGAGAGAGGGTGTCTGGCCCAGTGCCACCTAGAGAGAGTTATCATGGCTCAATGGGGTTTAGAACCTGGTCTGTCTCTGACCCTTAAGTCCTAAACTACTCTGGCCATGCATCTTGAACATTCCCAATCATGAATTCCACTCAAGGACAAACTGACCCTCTGAAGAGGCCTTGACTGCTCCTTCTAACTAGTCATCACAGAATGACGCAAACTGCATCAATAAATAGATACCTTCTCCCAAGGGAAGAATCAATACCCACTCAGTTTGGTGTCCACTGAGTAAGTCTAGTGAGCAACAACCACAAAAAGACAATTCGGTGCAACACACCATCCTCCCCCACAGCTCAAGTGGCATTTGCAAGGAAACTGGACACTGAGGGCATCTTCAAATGCTTTAAACCATCTATAAGCCAAATGTTCCAGAACTTCAAAGTTAAAAGAAAAGAGGGATGTTTAGAAACAACAGTATTAGTGCCAGCTGTTTATCCACAATGTGTTTTGACTTAGGACAATCTGCTTCAGCTCATTTGCTAGCCAGACTTCTCAGTCTTAAAACAAAAACCTCCGTCCTTCAATCCCATATGGAAAGATATCATGTCTGTTGGGGGGGGGGAGAGAGAAAGTACCAGAATGGCAGATGGGAAGCTTTTTTCTTTTTCTTTTTTTTACTACACTTCTCAATATATTCTAGCTGTAGGCCCAGTGGCTGTGCAGGCTGGCGTACTCCGTGAGTTGTAGTCTAAAAAGTAACTCTTCCTCTCTGCGTTTCAAGCAGATTACTAGTTCCTCTTTCTGTTGGTCCAACATTTAATGTCTTCATCACCTACCTACAGAAACAACCTCCTCCCCAGCCCCCCCGCTAATACTGGCACTTCTATTTTAAAGATAATTGCCTCCAGGATGTCTCCACAGTACAAAACCATTAGAGAAACTGTGCCAGTGGGAGAGAGGTGCAGCCCTAATCCTGGGGAGAGACAGTAAGTAAAGAAAGCTACAGTTCCTAAGCAGTGGATAAGTCCAATTAACGTGAAATACCACAAGAGGCTCAGCAAATTACATCAACAAATTAAGTAAATTGCTCGCTTCTTTTTGTCATTTAGTTCTAAGGCCAAAAGAGTGCAGTTTAAGTCAAATCAATGTTAAGAATATAACTAGAACAGACTTCTAGCAGTTTACATTATTAACTTCTCAACACAGACACAACGGAGACCTAACCTGGTGTGTGTGTGTGCAGCCCCTCATTTTCGGTGGGAAATAATAAAGGAGTCGTCTTTATAACTTTCAAACTTTCCTCTTTATTTTCTCCAAAGTCCACCAGCACTTCACTTATACGGTCAAACGGTTTCAACGTGGGCAACAGGCCACAACTATCAGACATATAACTCTTATTATAGTCCCATGGGCTCAACGGAGGGAGTCCCCACGCCATTCCTTGGACTCCAGTTTCTGGAGAGGAGTGCTCCGGATCACACATATAGTTCCGCAGCATGTATGGCGTACCCACCCCCTCTTGTCCGGTCCCTCAGGAAAGCGAAGATCCGAGGCTCCCCTTTCCTGTTGCAGCTCTGCTTCACGAGGTGCCACAATCATAGTCCATTCTCTTGTTACATACCGACTTAGCTTCTCTCTTTCAACCTCTGGGTCCGGCAAGAGTCCACCCACTTTTAAGTTCGGGAAGTCCCGTATCAAGCTCTGAGTGCGAATCCTCTCAAATACTCGTTTACGTTTCTCTTGCGTCTTTTTCTCATATTCCTCCACCACACTACTAAGCCATCACACCCCTTACTCATTTATATCCTCCTCCTAAACCGCTACTTCTTGCTCCGCCCACTCCCCCTCTATTAATCCTTCTACCAAGCAAACCTCCGTCTTTCCCGCTTCACTCTCCAATTTCAACTCTCCCGCCTTTTCTGTAACTGTCATTGCTTCTGTCTGTTGATCCCCTCCATTTGTCTTTTCTTCTTTGCCTACATCTCTTACAGTCAAGGACGACACACTTCTACTCTCTGCTCCTTCAGGGGGGGAGAGAACTAGACTGCATTAAGCATAATTACTTGTATGTGTGTGGCACTAAGTTGATGTTTAGGACACATCTGCAAATGGGAAAATTGGTATTACAGTATTATTAGTTCCTTCACCTTATACAGTATGTAAAAATAAAAATCCCCAAAACAAAATGGTTCCAAAGCCAGAATTCAGCTCCAGTTGAATACTTTCAGCTCCAGTAGAATACTCATGGGCTCCTCACTACACCCCTATATTTGAAGTCTCTCTATTCTTTTCGCAAGACCTAGTGAAACAACATATTCCTGTATCAGATTCAAAGGTATGTTTAATATGTACCGAAGTCAGCCAGCTCAACTTGGCATCCTCTTTAAACTTCAACACTTCTGTGTACACAGTACAGAGACAAATAGTTTGGGATAGTCAGTTACAGTTAGCTATTACAGACATGCCTGCACAAGGCATTTCTTTCCGACAATTGTGCTGGAGTGTTTGCCAGATGACGACAAGCTTCCCCCCATCAATTCCTCCTTGTCCATACCACCACATATAGGCAGCATCTACCAGGAAGCATGCTGACAAAGCTCACGCTCTCCCAGCTTTGAACTGCCAGTTAAATTCACTCCTGCCCTTCATCCGCAGCTGTCTCAGTTTTCCAGCTGACATATCACTTTTCTTAATGACCACACCAAAAAAAGAGCGCCTCATGATGCATGTCCATCTCTAATGCACAAAAATGCAGGCAGTTACAATGCCAACATCTTTCTGCAACTTCCCCTCTCCCCCCCCCTTTATTTAGCATGCATATGACAGCCCCTTATTCAAAAATTCTACCAGACAAGGGATGGCAAAGTCTGGTCTGTGGACTGTTTGGCCCGTTGGGTTGTTTGGCCCCAAAAAGGCGGGGGGGGGGGGGGAAGCAAAAAAAATAAAATAAAATAAAATAAATAAAAAATAAAAAAAGAGACAAACATTGTTATCTTCTGGTCCTGGAATTTTTACTTACAGGCTTAGCAGTGCCTCTTAAGATTTTTCAAACTATCCAAATAAAAATGGAATGGAATTGCAACTGCTTCTATATCCAATTCTCTTTTTTAAAAAAAGCCTAAAATAGCCATTTTTAGCTCCATGCAGCCCAACAAAGGCTTAAGAGCACTCATTTGACCCCCAGGTCTTCCGAGCTTGCTCATCCCATATTAGAATGCCAACTCTCCACTGCCCAAAAAAACTGGTTCTTCAAATCTGATTACTGTATATGGACTAGATTTAATATATAACTATATTTAGTATGCAACTCTCCCCCAGATCACTACAGATCCTCATGCAAATCTTCAAAACATAACTATGGAATCACTGCAGCTCATATCACTTAATTTATTTTAAGTCAGAACTACTGAAGTATTGAACTAAATCTAGGCCTAAACAAGGAAAAGAATTATCCTAGCCAGTCAATAAATTCATTAACAGAATGAATTTTAGAGCCTGTCTCCCCACAAATCGGATAAACAAGCTCAAGTCTACTTGAAATGGGTACACTTCATTCTAATATGGAAGTCAGTGTTACAGACACTGCTACAGCTGTCATCCAAACAGCAAGTTAGCTCACTTTCCAGCAGAAAATAAAGGTGAAGGTCACATGCCACTGCATGTTTATTTTCATTTCTTCTCCTAGAGGTAAATAATCATTAATAATTTACTGAACTACTGAAAGGGAGTCACACATAATTATATGACACAAGTTCACATAGGTTCATTATATGACACAAGCTCACACATTCACACATTGCAGCCATCTTTAATGCTAAGAGTGAAGTAGGACAGTTCATACTCCAAGTACTCAACATCTGTTTGAATGAACTGTAGCAGTAAGCTTCCATCTTAAGATGATTAAAGGGGGGAAAATAGTATCTACTGAACCATACAGCTCATTGCTGTAACCGAGCAGGGCTGTAGTTTTATGTGACTATAGCCACATGAAAATGCAAATAAATCAAGAGAAAAGCATTCCACAGAAGTACTTACCAGGACTTTCTACTCGCTTGTAATGATACGGGTTGATGCAAACTTCCTTCTGTTTTGAACCAAAGGGAAATTCACAGCACTCTAATGGTTTAAGTTCATGATGGCTCTGAAGATCTGGCCAGCGCCACACACGACAATAAATAACGTGGGGCAGCCCCTTTCGATGTGAGACCTGAAGCCGCCCATCTAAGGAACGAGGGATGGTTACACAGTTGCTGGGCTGGCCTGGGCAGCTTAGCGCCTTTTCTAACTCTTCCATTGCTCCTTTCTTCTTCTTCAGTTTTTTAACTAGGGCGTCAACAGCCTTCTCTGCCCATTTTTCCTCTTCGTCCCCTTGTTTCCATCCCAGAAGTCTTTTAACAGCAGGACTTGTGAAGGAAAACAAGCTTGTCACATTCATGGTGATAATTCAGAAGAGCTACTTCTGCACAAGGGCTAGAACAGCAAATTCTAGAACAACTGGCAGCAACAGCCCTCAGCGAGTTTATATTATCCTTTTAAGGTTTCTGATGCAGAGGTCTTGAACAATGAAATGAACATTCCAGCTCGAGTGATATTTTTGTCAAGTTTTTGGATTCCAAATCTAGGCCAGTCAGACACCTACAAAAGATAAAAGGAAAATCAAATACAAAATCACTTTAAACCCCAATTTTAACCAAGCCAGATGCCATTAACAGACTCCAGGGGCTGCCATACCATTCTTGGTTATTACAGAACACAGAGTCCAGGGAAGGAAGCACTCTTTATCCATTTACCTCATGAAGCAGACCACTTCCAAATAAATGAAGATGGCAGCCTCTCCCCAATCCAACAAACAGGCCTCATAAATTTAGGCAAAGTAGTATCAAGGACAAAATAAGCTAAATAATTCTTCCATTATACTGACTGCTGGCATCCCACACTTGGATTTTTACAGTAAATTTCAAATAAGTAAATAAGTAATACTATCTAAACTGAGGGAGGGAGGGCAAAGTACAGATTTCAGATATTCTTGGAATGGACTGTGACTCCCAACATCTCTAATCACTGGCTATACCAGTTGGGGCTGCTGGAGGATGTAGTTTAACAACATCCAGAGGACCACAATTCAGCCACTCCAGATGCAAAGCATCATAAACTGCATACAGTTTTTTAAAAATTGGCCGTCAAAATTGGCAATCTTCTTAATAGCTGTATCGGCTTACAAAACAGTCCCTGATATGACAAATTCATTTGGTTATACTGTATTATTAACCACTCTGCTTAACAAAATCTCAGAACAGCTGTATTCTTAAATCCTACAAGTAATCAGAAATAATTTATTACTCAAAGTGAATGTTTAAGCAGATGGTTGCCATGAAGTTTATAAATGTGGTAAAACATGAATGGTTGAAAATATGCTGGTGTGCTTGAGGGGCAGTTATTTTGTAAACATGCTTATGGAACCAGCATATGCACATCAGTCACTTGACACTTAGAAAAAGAAAAAAGACTGAAATATTTTCTGGTTCTTGATGCAGCAAGAATGGATGAGGTTATTAATCTCTTCCTTCTCCATTCTAGAAAGCCCAAGAGAAAATGCAGAAATCCTTAGAACAGAAACATTTATGGATGAGGTTATTAACCTCTTCCTTCTCCATTCTAGAAAGCCCAAGAGAAAATGCAGAAATCCTTAGAACAGAAACACCTATGTGAGCAGAGGCACATCATTGAGACCAACCGCTACTATGAATAGTTCCAATCTATACTGCTGTCTCTGGTCCCTTTTCCTGATGCAGAAATTTCCAGAGGGGTTGCTATGTTAATCTGAAATCTGTTGCAGCAAAACCAGCAATCCTATATGGTACCTTAAAGACTAACCAGTTTTATTTGGTATACTGTAAGTTTTGTAGACTGCAATCCAGTTGTGCTACAAAGCTTTTTTGTTATGTTTTCCTCCATGCAAGGATAGAGATGTAACATTTTCAAAAATTTCTTATTTTTCTAGAGAAAAAATGTGTTTTTTTTCCTGTTTTCCCCCCCTCTGGGGAAAAATTGAAATTTTTAGAAATATTATACCTCTAGAAAGAACTTACAAATACTGTACATAAAGTCTCGGAAGTCTTTCACTTAAGGTTATCATGTTATATAGTTTGAATACCATGTCATACCAGACATATTATCATTGTAAGAGAACATATTCCACACTCCATTTTTCCCCTCAATTTTTCCAGGGGGAGGGGTGTGTGGCCAGAAAAAAAACAGAAAAAATGTTTCCCCCCTACCTCATTTTTCTGGCTTTTTCCAGGCATTCCCATCTCTACACAAGGATTTACCTATATTTCCCCTTGTGGAATGAAAAAGAGAGCAGGGAGAACCCACCCCATCTAATTTCAGTTTTCCCAGCTGCAACTGAACCAAATAGAATCCCATCCATATTCAACCTTTCTTCTGAAATAAAAAGGGGGGGGGGTGGAGAAAGGTAAATGGAGAAGCATAGACAAATCAAGAAATCTGGCAATCTATTACTGTAGCAGGGATCGGGGCAGAAGATATATCATTTTGGAGAAACATTTAACGATTATGTTCGTGTCTCCCAAATTCCCTCCCCCATTTTTTTCCTGCGCAGAACCATTTGCTACCCACTTTCTACAGACATGCTATCTAATTTCAGGTCTACAGTACTTTGTACCTGTCATGGTGACAAACCTAAACTCATTCTGAAACATGGCAGCCACCCAAAGAATTTGACTTTTCTTTCCAACTCCTTTGCATTTTTCTTATTAGTAACTAAATATTCCAGAAGTAAAGAGACAGTCACCACCAGGTTATGAACTGGCCACAATGATTATTACAAGCATACAATGGAATAATTGTGCTAAACTATGCTAAATAAATTCTAAGTGTTTGCTGCACTTTCCTTCTGACACCTTTTGTTTCTGCCAGATACCTATTTCCTGTATTACTCTGAGCACAAAGAGGCCTTATCAGTTAAAATTAAATCAACATGAGTTGACATATGACACTTTTTACATACTTTCTTTCTCAAATAAGTGTAAGCACTGGGGGGAGAGGGGTAGATTCTGTAATTTCAACAGATCTCTACAGTTTAACAGCCCAGTTTAAAAATCGTAACATTTTGATTTCCTTGAACATATCCTGATTTTACTTTGGCAACAGTTTTAGCATAACCTAATTCTCAACATTTCATCTATTGTTTTCACATCAAAGATGTAAAACTACTTTAAATAATAGAGACCTAAACTGTGTCCTGTAAGATACCCAGTGTAAGTGGATACAGTGATGAACTAGGACTCAGAGGCCCGGATTTGAATCCCCCCTGCTCAACCATGGAAACTCACTGGAACAGGTAAAAACACCTCCTTAAATTGGTTCTGACCTGATGGCACATAACAAGAAACGATGTCCCATTCCTCTTGATTAGTTTTATCTAAATCATTAGGATGTATACAAGTACTTGCTTTAAGCACAATGTTAGCATATAAATTGTAAAATCAATCTTATTCTGCGTTCTAAGGTAGGTCTGGACAGAAGTACATGTACTTCTGAATTTTGCAAAAAGATTCTCAGTTCAAAAAATAAATAAACAAACAAAAATGTGTTAAAATGAGCCTTCAGAGTTAGATGCAATTTAAAACACCAATATGCTTTTAGTAATGGGTTATTTGTAAGAAAACATGTTCAAAATAAATATGGTTGTGGGTATTTTATTCAAGATAGGAACATTAATGCAGAGAAATGACAGAACACTGTTTTAAGCCATTACTGAGTGAGACAGGGGACTTGCAGGCAAAAGCAGGCGAGGCATAATCCTTCAGGGTTCAGGCTGTGTCTTATACAGTTCATATAGTCTTTTCTTTATTGCCTTTCCAGGTGTTCTTTGACACAGTGCTCAGAAGGATGTGTGCTTTTGGGATTTGGTGGCCAAATGTCCTCTTCCATGACTCACCACAAGTCAGGGTTTTTTAAAGTACTTCTGGTTACTGTACTTCTGGTTATTGGAACTCTAGCCCTGCCTTTCTTTTGGTTTGGGGGGACTGTATCCTATCTGATAGCTAAATAAAATAAAGTATTTTTTAAAACAATATTGCTCCTTGTAAAATCCATTTCTACAAGGCATTTCTTTATTCAATGCTACAAGCATTTCTTTACTCATATTCCATTTTTTCCCCAGCTGGGGTGGGGGAGTATGTGAGGATGAGAGACTCAAAAACAGGACTTGGGAGAGCCACAAGCAGGCTACAGTGGACCCTCTACTTATGGAATTAATCCATATTTGAATGGTGGCTGCAGGTCGAAAAGTCTGTAGATCGAGGCTCCATTGACCTACAATGCTTTGAAAACCGATTACTCCATAACCGGCCGTTTTTGTTCCATTTTTGTTCCATTTCAGGTTTTTTTTTCTGGTCTGTAGGTTGATTCTCTGGCTGTAAGTCAAACCTAAATTTTGCAGCCAGAGAAGTCTGTAACTCGAAAAGTCTGTAAGTCGAGCCGTCTGTAAGTCGAGGGTCCACTGTATTGGCTGCGCTTTCCCCACCCCATCTTAAAACAGTGTTGAAAGAGTAAACCTATGCTTTCAGTTTTTCTTCTACAGTTTGCAGAATACACCAAATATATTTCCCAAGGCAGCCTTCTTCAAACTGGTATCCATTAAATATTTTGGACTTCGACTCCCAAAAACCCCAGCCACATGGTCAGTTGTCAGAAACAGACATAAGGTTGTCATATTTCTTGAACATCCGACCTAATAATTTGTCAGCAGTTGCCCTAGTCAGAATTTTGAGGACTTTGCCAAGAAATCGGTCCTCTCAGGAAATTTCAGTTATAAGCCGGTGGAAAATAAAGGCTCCAACAGTCATTTTGTTCCTGTGAAGATGACAGAGGAAATGGGTGGGAGTGGCTACGTTCCATGCCAGCTCAAGGGATAGTCTCTCTGGGTATTGGGCTCTGGGTATAGGTGCATCTCAAAAAAATTACCAGTCTCCTAATCTCTTGTTGTTCCCATAAATCTTATCCACTCCGACTCTTATTTCTTTTTTCTTCCTCACTACAATGTAAAAGCTGACAGAACCATAGTTCCCCACCTGTTTACAACAGAAAACTCTGGTGAGGATTTGGCTACCACTCCCAGAATTCCAGCTGGAGAGATTTTTCCTGAGTTCTAAGGGCTGAAGTTCAAGCAATATGCAAATCCCATGCCTAGTGAGAAATAATTCATGCTATAGTTGAAAATGTCTGGAGGGAATCAAGTACTGTAAAGAAAGATTGCCCTAAGACAGCGATGGTGAACCTATGGCACGCGTGCCACGGCTGGCACATGGAGCCCCTTCTGCTGGCATGTGAGCCATAAGTTGCCAGGTCGCTACTCCGCCCCCCCCCCGCAGCTAAATCTCAGGAGGCAGCTGCAGCCGCGGTGCTGGTGCTTTGGCAGGTGGATCTGGAGAGCTGGTGCTGGCAGCGGATCCAGAGTGGGGTCTCGAAGCACCTCATGCTGGGACTCCCCCTTCCTTCCACCACTTCCGGTTCCGCCGCCAGCACTTCTGGCAGTGGCACACCACCTGCTGTTGTTGCTTTTTCTCCAGTTGGGGCACGCGAGCCCAGAAAGGTTTGCCACCA